GCTCTGCAAAGGCTAGAAGAGTTTTCTTTTCTCTCTCGTACAAAAGAGCAGGAATCCTGTAGACACAAGATTCAAAAAGAGTTTGTTTCTGTTGTTTTACTTCCATTGAAAGTATGTTGCCCATGGTTCGTGTAAAATGATCATACAGCAGATGACAAAGAAAGACTTGCTGCTCTATCTCTGCAAATATTGCCTGCTGATGGTTTTTATAGGACTGTGTGATGGTGCTGTTTGTGAATGAGGGAGGAGCCTTTTATTACAATCTAAACCTCATTGTTCATTTTTGAAGAAGTAACTCAAAAATGCTGATATTTACTTTTAATCAGCCTCAGTTGTCCTTATTGGAATATATGTTTATTTCTAACACAAATTTGATATCAGGTTTATATAGGAAAGTAAAGTAAATGTAGTATCACACTAATCACAACTGAAATGGCTTTTTTTTTTATTACACAAGGTCAAAGAGATTAACATACACAGTTAAATGAACATAAAAACAATAGCAAAACAACAAGAAAAGAAAGAAGGGGAAAAATGAAAAGCTTCCCGTTGTAGCTAAAGTGTTATTTTTAGATTATACATGCTTCAAAAACCCTTTAAAACATCCAAATGTTTAATTGTTGTCTCTTTGTAGCTCTAAATATATATGTTTTCACCATCATAATGATTATATTGTTCAGATATTTGGGAATGTTGTACATAAAGCCACACTGCACACGTGTGTAACATTTCATATAATTCTACTGACTGGGGTCACTACAGTAACAATATTTATGTCTTGACAACTTAGTACACATCTTCTCCATAAGCATGTGTGCAACATAAAGAAGCATGGCACAAATAGCTACACCTTGTAGCCATTAATAAAACTGTGCGATATCCCTTAACTGCGGTATTCAATTACCACTGTTTTTGGGTGGTATTTTCAGTGAATAATGAACACTTCTTTCAGAAGCTGGGCCGGTGAACAGCTGTAACAGTGGCAACAGCAGATGCAGCAATGACACGTATTTTCTAAAATGCAAATGTTCAAGTTACACAAATGTAATGCTATATTATATCGGACATAGCCTTTATAATCGTGAGACAAAACACAGAGACCAGAGGACAATATTTTTTATTTTGCCTTGATTTAACATAGTTTCACTTTTAGTTTGTGTCAGACCACATCAGGTGACATCTTAAACTGAAGTGAAACCATTCCCACTGTAAAAATGCTTATCAGACTTTCCTAGAAGTTCATCTGCAGCTCATTACAACAGAACAGAGCATGTGAGCAGAGTGAACTGGGAGCGAGCGAAGAGCATGAATGAAAGGATTTTGGATCGACCACAGAGTGGATTTTTAAAAAAATTGGAGCGACTTCTTATCTCCCACTCCATTTTCACTCCAGTACACATACGCCTATTCCCAGTACCATTGTGTGTGTCACCAGGATTATTCCCACACTTCACATTCATTGTTAATTTGCGCACACACGCATTTCTCTGAACCAGTCTGCTTTGTAATCACATGTACAGCTGATCTTTATATTAACAATAAGAGTAGGCATAATAAGATAGTGATTCCAGTACAGGAGAGACTTGATGTTCTCTGCAATTTGGTTAAAGAAAATATGTGCATATACTGGCAATTGGCCAAAATGAGCTGGAACATATCTGCATATTGGATTTCGGCAAAAATCAATATCGTAGATCCCCAGTAGTGAGGATAGAAGCATGCATAGTTTGGATCTAATATATATTTGATTTCTAATTGTACTAAGATCTTGTAAAATAGGTGACTGCTATGGAACCATTTATTAATGAGTAACTCATATTCAGATTTGATAGAGTAGCTAATGATTAGTTAATGATCAGTTAATGATTAGTTAATTAAAAAAACAAGTTAGGAACAAATCAGAAAACGACTTGATAACTGCTCATTCGTACTTTCCTAATAATGCCTAATATACGATTGTAGATAATGATCACTAGAGAACAGACTGGGGGAGCCTATATAAATAAATTATTAGGTAATGATTAGTTAATGAGTATCTATGAATCTATCATACTGATCACTTTCTTTAGGAGTCGTTCCTTATTAACTCTGAACCAGCCGGTTAACGGCACAAAATTAGTAACGACTCATTCGTCAGTAATTACCTAAACATTAGTTACTGTTTATGTGCACCCCGAAAAAGCTTGCCAAGTGAACTAAAAATGGTGTTAATGAAGTCAAACATGTTGTGGCACGAGTACTGACAGGATCTAAGAAAAGAGATCATATTTTTCCTGTCTTAGCTTCTCTGCACTGGTTCCCTGTAACATTCTAAATAGAATTTAAAATCCTCCTCCTCACCTACAAAGCTCTTCATGGTCAGGCACCTTCATATCTTAAAGAGCTCACAGCTCCCTCCTACCTCACTGGAACACTGTGCTCTCTGAATGCAGGGCTACTTGTGGTTCCTATAGTCTCCAAAAGTCGAATGGGAGCCAGAACCTTCAGCTCTGAAACAGCTTCCAGTGTCGGTTTGGGAGGCAGACACCCTTTCCAAATTTAAGAGTAGGTTTAAGACGTTCCTCTGTGACAAAGCTTATAGTTAGAGCTGGTTCAGGTTAGAGTTTTTGTGCTTTCTCGTTCTCATTGATTGTAGTCGTGCCTGCTGCCGTGGTCCTGCTTGATGCCCACTTCTAATGTTGTTATTATTATTATCATCATTATTATTCATTATTCATCCTTGTTATTATGACTGTTATCATCATCATCATCATCATTAGTCATATTTCTACTATTATAGTTGTTACTGTTGCACTGTTGTTGTACATTTTATAAGAAACGTTGAAATTACGCCTTCGTTTGGACCTACCATTGCAATATGACTTTGGGGAAATACCTTCACACTAATTGTCTCTCTGTCAATTTACCACTAAACATATTATCAAAATAATTAAACAAATTTGTCTTTTGTGACACATTGATGCTGAAACTGCATTTTAGCCACTTGAAAAGAGGCCAAAAATATGTTAAAGACTTTTCCTGAATATCACCCAGTTTTGAAATCCCGGTTGGTGTTCACTGAGGTATTGACTGCTTCCTTCATCCTTCACCAACAGTGACTTATTCATAAACTGTTTGGTTACCAGCTGTCTTATAATGTCCAGTCACATTCCCATAACCCATAAGCTCCCCCCACCAAAGGTCTTAAAACTAGAACTGGCTACAGGTCCCCTCTACAAGACCGTGCTTTCAGATCAGGTACTAACGCAGGACAAAGCTTAAGGCCTTTATCTGTTTTGGGGCCATTTAAATACCACTAACCAGCTGCCACATAGTGAATATAGTTATGTTTAACAGAGACAACCCAACCTGTTTATCCATTAAAAGTTTCCTACTTGTTTCTATCATTAAAACATTTTCCCTTCACTGATAAGTTAACCGTGAAGGGAGTTTTTCAATTTTTATAGAAAATCCTATTGTTTTGTCAAGACATTCTGGGAAATATGCTTGTTTGGTTTTTTGCCAAGAGCTGAATGAGAAGATCAACACCACTTCCATGTCTCATGAAGCAAGGATCTAGAACCAGGAGACAGTTAGCTCAGCTTAGCATAAAGACGGGGAGAAAGTGGTTAAACAGCTAGCCAATATTAAAAAATCTACTACCTCTAAGCTCACAAAATAACACTTTGTTTAATCTGTACTCAAACAGAAATTTAAAAACCAAAAGTTGTAATTTTACTTGGAGTTGCATATTTCTTGGCATACAGCACAGGGACTTTCTGGAGACGTGTCACTATCAGGTTGCTGCCTTCATTTTTGGTAATACACTTACCAGTTACGTTAGTAACCTTAACTCCAGATTCTATAGCTGTAGCCATCAAAGCTGTGGCCAATGGTTCCTTTAACTAGCTGAAGTAAAAGCTGTTACTGTGAGCAGATTGTTCATTTTCAGCCTAACTTACACACAAGGTGAGACTGAGGTGGGGCTCATGTGATATGTGGGCGTAGACTAAAATTCAAGGAATTTTAGTCTGCCCCTATACTCATAAATCATAGATCATCATATAATCTGGAACTGCAGCGCAACTCGACCAAACAACTTTTTCAGTCACTCAGTGAGTCACAGACTTTCACGTTTATAGTGCAGCTCCTCGCTTTGCTGCAGTCCATCCAAAAAGAAAAACATTATGGGTTGAATTAATTCTTTTTGCTTGGTGATGACGAACATTATTGTACTTCTGGCCAATCTTCACTTTGATAAACAAAGAAAATCACACTCAGGAATTGAACCTGGGTCGCTTCAGTAAGGACTTAACCTTAGCACATTGGGTGTGAGCTCTACCAAGTGATCTACTGGTAGCTACTGATACCCAGTAATATGTTTATTTCTCCAACACAAATCTGATATCAGAGAAGATTCTAGTAACAGGTTTACATCGGACTATCATTGTAGTATCAGAGTGATGACAACTGTCCCAACTGAAATGTCTTGTACGTCATTTAAGATGGCCATTAGAAAAGTAATAGTGACAAAATGTTCAGTACGTTCATAAGTGCTACAGTGGCTGGTCATCTTTTAAAAAAAAAGAAACATAGACATAGAAACAGAAACATAGAAAAGACAATTTATTTGTTAGAAATCTTATAACTTTATTTCTTTTCCTTTACATTAATTAAACAACATAAAGAGTATTAGATTAACATCAGAAATATAAAATGTTAGTAAAGTATAACACATAATTAATGTTTTTTTTTTACAGCTGAAATAAAATCAAAACAAAAGCAATCATTTTAGTGGATAGTGTGAGTTATTTTTAGGTAAATAGTCCCATACAAGGATTAACCACAGAGAGAAGGCTTCACTTCAGTTAAAGCCAATGATTTTATATTTGTTCACTCTCCAATGCCCTGCTTGACTTCATTGTAGCTAAAAACTACACAGGCTATCTGCTCAGTTTCTTTCTTCTCCCCACACTCCATTAGACATGCAAACCAGCCATCACCAATGTAAGCCAGGTCTGAGTAACCACTGGGTCCTCTGTTGATGATCCAGGGTTTGCTCCATGCTTTTGGATCACCTGGGGATTTATTCAGATACACTCCTAAATCAATCCTTCTGGATTCATCACTTGGGTGGGTGAAGAGCAGCCACTTGTTTTTATTCTGGCTTTGATCACCATCTGCACCTTCATTTTGAGCTGGAAAGGAAACTACACTTCCCTGACAACCTGAACCTGTTTCCACAAGTTTTTCAGCACTGCTTGGCTTGGAAAACTCCTGTCCTGTATTTTTACTGACAGCTTCTTTACGGTGGCCTCCCCTTCTACGGGCATTGCAGTAGATGAAACTTTTGTTTTTATCATCAAAAAACTCTGCCATTTCACACTCAATTGACTCATTTTGAAGCATTTTTCCAAAATGCCATGTTTGACCAGAATCATCACTATGCAGGGAAAGGGCATATGGAGCATTAGACTTGCAGCATTTCTTGTCACAGGAGAGACATGAGTCGTGGCAAGAAGTATAAGCATACGTTGGAACAATTAATCTACCACTCTCTGTTTGAAGACCATGGCCTGGCCCA